ATACATACATACATACACTGTATACATAATTTCCATGCTACTCTGCAACAGTCTATCCATTAGACCAGCCTTGTTTCATACAAGAATCAATAAATTTATCTAAAACATAACGACCTTCAATTTATTCCTTCAAATATTTGACAAACAAAATGACTATTATATATAAATTAGATTTTAAAAAATCCCATTTTCTAAACCGTTTTGTTCTTGGAGATAGAAGGTTTCTGCCTGACAGCAACAATATTCATAAGTGAACAACAGCCTCACTACAAAAGCACAAAATAAAAGCTTTAATCAAATGGATAGTTGATTTTTTTAAGTACGGCTTCAGTAGAAAGGTTATGAACAATCAATATCTTACCTGATGCAGATAGCTCTTTGAATGACCTAAACAACCACAGACTGCAGCTACAACTAAATCACAACCTTCAAAACAGTAAAATTATGACATTGATGGTATTTCTATACATAACAGACCTTTTGGAGTTGTAGTAAATGTGCAACATGGCTCATATTGTGTATCCCTAAACCTTTACACCATCAAATTCACATTACACTGTAATTTACATGGAATTCTGTGGTCGGTGCTTCCCATAATGTTATCCTTGGGGGGGTGGGGGGTGGGAAGCTGCTTCTCCTTTCCACACACTCCCTCCATCACCCTCCTTATAAATGTCATGGCATGTAATAAATTAATGGATCGGTTTCCTGCAGTTAATTCAGGCTTTCAATTTGAACTGTCTTACAAAATGAAGACATTTCCTGTCAAAATAGACGCAGAGCTTCCTCTACCATTATCCAAGGAGAGCACTCTGTGCGGTCAACAGGACCGGGCATCAGTTACTAAGGCTGGGTTTTCTTAATAATCTAACAACTGAATTTGATTTCAATTCTTTGGGTCATGATTTGATTTGATTTCGATTCAATATCGCTTTAAATGCTTTGATATCAACATCATGATAAAAAAAAATACACAAAAAACTAATTAGAGTCCCTGTGGATAATTTTTAGATATTTATATTCTTGCCTATTTAGACAGAAATTATATACATTAACATTTATGAGAAATAAAATATCTGAAAATAAAGCAGTAGCACAATAATACTTGCCAGGTGATGTAATCAATTCACGGGATTTTCTGAATCGATGTTGAATTGTAAAATAAAAATATTTCGCAATGGATTGAGGAATCAATATTTTTACCCACCCCTACCACACAACATCCGTCAAGTGTCCTGCCAAGGTCAGTAATCCAGGTGGGTGTGTAATAGGAAATGGACAAATATTTAATATTTAGAAATATTTAGAAAATAGTGATCACATGAAAAACAAAACATTTGAGCGTTGCCATAGACTAGCCATTAGTCAGAATTTAACCGTATTTCTCCAAAATGATGGGGTGCAAAGAGCCATCTGCAACAGGTAAGATATTAAATACTCATCACCTTTCCACAGAACCCCTACTTCTAAAAATCTGAACTATCTCTTCAAAATCAACAATAAGCTGTGAATAACCTGCCTGTGTTTCAGCCAGTAAATTACAATTTAACATCTGGCAAATAAAGACAATAAGACAGTGCAGATCATTTTAAACGAGTCACAACAAAACACATAAAAGAAAGAAATGAAGACAAAAAAAAAGTCTCACTGGCCAACATCTGCTGGGTGTTTCTCTGTGACATACCTTTTATCATTGCCACTGCTGGGACCAGAAGGCAACTTAAGGTAGAGGTAGAGTTTTTCAATGTCTGTAAACTTCTCAACATCTTGCTGCGGAAACAAAAACACCACAAGACAACATTTTTTTTAAATAAAAAAAAATGAGGCATTAATATCAGGAATCCTTAAAAAGAAAACCTCGATGAGAGAAAAATCCTGAACGCAGAATAAAAACAGTTTTAAACGATTATCTGTGTTCAAAAAGTTTTATGGTAAGAAGATACAATTAGATGCTGTCTGGTGAAGAATTATAGATCCATTTTTTTAAACAATACCCAGCGAGGAGCAACCATCTCACCACTTTAAGTGCCCTTCAGCTGGATTCTAAGAATGGATCCATGTCACCTCTTCCTCGTCTATTTGCCTCTTTGTTGCCATGGAAACCCACACTTAAATGAATGAGGTGAGAGCTGTCAGCCAATAAGCTGTGAATGAAAACAATTTACTACACGCCGCTTTTACGGGTCTGACGGAGTGGATAGAAACTAAATTAGGATTCTAATTTAAAAAAAACAAATAAAGGTATGTTTGCCTTGTAAGACAATCTCTTTAAGCTACAATATAACGCACTTTTAGATTAAATATTTTATTTGTGTTTTAATAATACAAACAAAATCATTAAAAGTCCCACAATAAATGCAAAAACTACAGATAAAGACTCCAATAAACCAGCAATGTTTTACAAGATAAAATCATTTGATTTGAGGTACTCACAGTATGTGTATTTATATCAAACTGTCACGGTACAGATGGGTACTTTTTTATTGTACTTTGCAACAGAAAAGATGCAGAGGGAATTTTTTTTCTCTACAACAAAGCATGAATGGCTGCTTGTTTGTCTCAAATCAGCTGAGTGTGGAAAAGTTTCATGTTCTGCAACCACAGCAGGGAGCTGTGAAGTGTATGTATGGCAAGCAGGTACGTCACAAATTCTGTACTTGGTGCTATTTTCCAACACTAGAACTCAACTGAAGAAGCTCATGGTGGGTGTTTAACGTTTTAGTTATGTTGTTTGTTTATGTTTGGTTTTTTTGTTTTGTTTTGTTTTTTACTTCCTGAGATGTTTTTTCAGTTTTTATTTCTTTTTTATTTTAGATCAAGTCTAAATCTAAATATTTTTAACCGGTCCAACATGTTATATATAAATTTAAACCCTGAATCACAATAATGATTCTTTTATATCACATGAAAAAAAATATCATTTTGTTTTCAATTTACTGTTCATACCAATTTAATGTCTTTTTATTACAAACCCTAAAATGCTTTAAAACAGCACTTAATTACACAATACTTGAATCTGTAGTTAAAACCAAGCAACTAATCTGCTGTATAGTACAGTTTAGAAACACTAAATATAAATATATTAATATATTTAAATTAAAGATTAAATATATTTAATCAAATATTTATTCAATGTAAAATATGTGAAATATTTTGTGTAAAAAAGCTAGTTTATGTTGTGTTTTATTTAGACTTTACTTTAAACTTATTTGCCTTGGTATGTAAGCATTGGAAAAGCAAAACAAAGAACATTTTTTAGGAGAAATAGACTAAAGTCAAACCAAAATTAATATTTGGATTTTAAGGTGTGTGTGGCTGTAGTCAAAGCCTTTTACTGTTGCTTTGATTTCACTCGTGCTGCTTTGCAAAAGAAAAAAAAAGAGGCTTCAGTTCAAAGAAATCCACAGTAAAACGTGCAGAAATAGATTTTCACGCGAGGACAAAAATAGCCTTTATCTGATCTGAGTCCTTGTCAGAAAATAAAACAGTACATATTTTTAAACCAATATTTTATGTTTAAATATCACATATTTTGTGTAAATTTCTACATTAATATTTCTGAAAATAAAAACGTTTGTATATTTACATGCTCACATGCATTCACGTTGCTCAAAGTACAACAAAAAACATTTTATCATTAAATAAATTTGTGCCGTAGCGACTGAATGATGAAATTTAGATACCTTCAGGTGATTAAAACACCTTAATATTTACATGTAAGTCAATAACAAAACATTTTTACAAGATAAGTGTTTGTGGATACTCACCAATATGCTGTCCACTTTTGATTGTACAGATTTGCTACAAGGAGAAAAAGAATAAAAATCAGGAAAGTGAACCAATTCTAACTCGCCATCACTCCTTATTGATTTATTAATTATTATATAAAACCAGTCAGCCTGTGCACAGTGAGGCTTTATGAATAGTTTGCATCATCATCACATAATTAGGCATATTCTTTTTTTTTCTGCTCATGTATCACAACATGTGTTGGCTTTAGAAAGGATTCACTCATTCATTTATTGCATTTTCACTAGAGTTAAAATGACACACTTTATATCCGGCTGTCGGACTAAACATTAAGAAATCAAGCTTTAAAACATGTAAACACACACACAAGAAAAATTAAGGTTTCTACACTTAATTCTGCTTTTGTATGTAACACCTTAAAAATGAAATGTGTGCACTTTACCACACAGATTTTGAGCAATTAGTTAATTTTTCCTTCACTCTTGACCAGAGCCGCCACCCGCTGTTATTACACTGATGGGGTTTATGGAAAAACTGTGGCCTCCACCTGAACCTCCTGACTCTGTGTGTGTGTGTGTGTGTGTGTGTGTGTGTGTGTGTGTGTGTGTGTGTGTGTGTGTGTGTGTGTGT